TCATTTTCAAACTTAAAAAAAATCTAATTTAATTACATAAACTTTTTTATGTATTAAATTATATTTCTTTATACAATTTAACACATAATTCAAATTTCAACCTAAAACATGATTTAAAATTTAACATATAAAAATAAATAACATTATTAAATTAAAAAATATATATCCACTTTTAAAAAAACTGAAAATTTAAAACATATCAAAATTTAAAATAAGCACAAATTTTAATTTCATTTTAAATTTAAAAATTAAAAACATATTTATTTCTTAAACACAACGATTAAAAATTAGAAAAAAAAATTGATAGTTTTTTGGAGAAGAAGAGAGAAGTGGATCCCACAGGAGTTTGTGAAAATCTCAGCCTTATATGTGACAGCCATAAAGTTAAAGTATTATTATATCTTCAATTTGGCCAACACCAATGTTCCTTCTCACTCCTTTCTTTCAAACCTACGCGCATTCTCAAGTCTCATCCAGCCAACAATCGTCAACACATCTTAACACGCACACGATATAATTCACAACAACAACCACGTGAATATGTCATACTAATACTAATAACCTAATACTTTTATTCCTCTTTGACTTTTCTCCCTCTCTATATATACCACAACACACTTCAAACCCACCCACAAAACAAACCCTCATTCTTCGATTCTATCCAACGTTAAAACCCTTCTCTTAATCAACTCCACGTGATGGGCAACTACGTTTCATGCACCCTGGCACCTCCTCTCATGAAGAACTCCAAGGCCACCAGAGTCATCATTCCCACCGGTGAAGTCAAGCAATTCAGGGAGGTTATCAAGGCGGCGGAACTCATGCTTGAACACCCCACTTACTTTGTCGTCAATTCTCGTTCTCTTCATATTGGTCGAAGGTTTTCTGCTCTCGCCGCCGACGAAGACTTGGAGTTTGGGAACGTCTACATCTTCTTCCCCATGAGGAGACTGAACTCGGTTGTCACCGCCGCCGACATGGCGGTGCTTTTCTTGGCGGCTAATTCCGCCGCCAAGAGACTGACCCGCGGAAAGACGCGCGTTCTTCCACACAACGGCGGTGGTGAAGTGGAGAAAAACTCAGATGCAGAAAGAGATGTTGAAATTCCAAGGTTGAGTTTGGAAGGAGTAGATTCAGGGTTTCAGTATAGGTTAAATTGTTGTAGGTCAAGAAAGCCTGTTTTGGAAACTATAACGGAGGAACCGGCTAGGTTAAGGTGATTGGTGAAACCTGGTTATGCATCAGATTTTTTTTTTTTTTTAACGAGTAGATTATTCAACACTCGAAAAGAAAAACTAGCTGAGGTGGAGCAGCCGTAGCATCAAGTTTGTACAAAATATTCATATATTCAAAGTAATTTGTTTGTGATACATTGACTATTCATTTATTTTTTTTCTTACAATGAATAAATTCAGATTAATTTAATGGGGACTGATATTTAGTGACTTTTACCTAATTTTAGATTTTTTTATTGAAGCGAGTGAAAGATACTGTATGAAAAGTGAAATGTTCCACCATTTGTCCATTTGTGACTAACGCGTGGACTAGCTGGTGTAGGATCTGTGAATGTAATGAATTGGACAAAGCAATACAATGGCCAAATTCAAAACAACTACGGTTTCCATCTTCTGGAAATACCTCTGTCCCTTTCCGAATAATTTTCTTTAACACAGATTATGCATTTGAAAATTATTTTTATACTTTCACATAATTAAATTATAACTCTTTTTCGCACATTATTAAATTTTCCTGAAGATTAAACATTTCATATATATGAAAATAGATTTTTGTGGAAGGTTACTGCTGTGGGTATGTTTATAATTTTATTAGGTTTTGAAATTTTGTTTTAAATTAAACAAGTTCAAGCAACCTCGGTTCTTCACATAAAAAACTCAATCGATAAATAGAAATATAAAATAGGTTCTTTTATTTATAGTGATAAAAGTGACATAATGAGCACAAGAGTTAGAACTTGAGCATTTGATAAAATAGAACTACTTGTTTGGCTTAGATGCAGCATGCAGATCACTGAAGTATGCCTTTGGATTGCTCTCAAATGCTTCTCTTGAGATGGAACTTCCATCACCACCAGGGGCCTTCATATTTCCTCCTGAATCACCACCGCCGATTGAGTTTCCTCCACCACCGATTGAATTTCCTCCACCGCTATCTTTTCAAACACCGCCTCCCTTGCCACTATCTCCTCCCTTGCCGGCACTGTCTCCACCGTCCTGGCCACCCATCTTTCGAATGGTTAAAGTTGCTGATAGGAGAGTAGAGAAATTTATTAATATCTCGACAATGTGAAATGCAATCTCATTTGGTTAGCTATTTATAGAAGAGAAAAATGGAAAGCTCTGTTCAAAGGAATCAATGTTTTCTTTGTTCGCAGTTAACGATAGTGTAGAGATAACTAAAATTGTGCTGTTATTCCCAACGAACGCGTGGATTCAAGAATTGAACTTGGAAAATTATCAAATGCATTTAACCGTAACTGTTAGTTTCAATGGTACCGTTAGACATGGTTTTCCCAATGCGTGTATAGTGACGTACAGAGGAAGTTGAAGAAAAAGTATTTTAAACCTTGATCTCTTATACAAACATATTTCAACTAGTAATTTCATCCAGTTAATTACATTTTCTTTAAAATGTATTTTGATTTACCTGCAGTCTTATCTTTAATGAATTTTTTTTCTTAATGTCAAATTTAAAGAAATTGTAATTTAGAAATCAACCCATAGTAAATATATCCATTTAAAGTAGTTGTTCCCCATAAAAAGCTTTTGCTTTTAAGTGTGTTTGTAAATATTGCTCTAAGCATGTTTAGAAAACTTTGTTTTTAAAGACTTTTAAGAGAAAAAAAGTATAAAAAATATTGAACTTTTAATAAATTACATTAGTTTATATACAAATTAAAAATTAAGAAAATACAACAATCTTATTAGAGTTTGTAGAAGAAGAAAAAAGTACTAAAACAGAGGTGGCCAACTATCTCACTCAGTTTCACCCTGTACCATGAGACAAATGACTTAGAGGTGAAACTTACCTGTTAATTTATTTTAATAAAAAATAGTTAAAAGATCAACTTTTTATATTATAGTATTTAAAGAATATAAATGTATGATAATATTAAGTTTTAGTTATTAATTATAATAAAATCATCTAATTTGAAAATGTAACAATAGTTTTAAATATACTTTTATGTATAGAAAAAGTAAAGTTGACAAATTATATTTGAAAATATATACTTGCAATAGATCCATTATATAATGAATTAATTAACTTTTTTTATAGATGTGTGAACTCAAAAAAAAAAATTCACACTATTCTTTTATTTGTTTGAGGTTGAGAAGAAAATACATTGCTTAATTATAATTCCTAAGAAGAAAGATGAAGCTAAAAATACATTACTTTGCTATGTTATTACTAATTATTTTCAATAAAGAAAACTTTGATCATGATCTTTTACAATTAAAAATAAATCGTTTAATTTAAGACTTTGACTAATAACAGTTGATTAGTAATAGTACGTAGTTTAACTATTTTTTTTATTTATAAACTAATGTAAAAATATTATATATTGTATTTTTCATTAACATAACCACTTAATTCTGAAAATACTTTACTACATTAAAACTACTTGGACTGATTTTTTTAATTTTTTTTTGCTTTTATAACATTTTACAGTAGTTGACATATCAGAACAATTTTACACTCATTAATGGATTAATTTAAATTGTTCACAATAATATTTTTATATATTTTAGGATAGATAATTATTTTGATTTATTAAATTTTTATATGCTATGTAATAGTATATTCAATAAAAAAATTAATAATAAATATGTTTTTGAAATTCTAAAATATACAATAAAAAAGAACAATATTGTTTTCAGAATTGAAATAGACAAAGAAAGAATGAAACATATATTTATAGAAGAGATGGTAAATCTATGTGGAAGATAATGAGTGTTCATTTTGAATTTCTAGGTCTTAATTAATGACGAAGGAATTCAAAATAATAAAAACAGCAAATATATATAACAATGGGTGGGACGACTGTGTATTTGACTATCATTCTTATCTTCAAAGAAAAATTCATCCTTATTCCTGTTTTCACATCCAATAAATACTAAATTTTTATTTCATTTTAATTTCTTTAAGTAATTGTATATCTTTAGTTTGCTTTCAAATATTAATTAAATAATTTTTATAAAAAAAATAAAATTTACATAAAAAATATTATATTACTAATGATTCAATATAAAAAAAACACGCAGGATAACATTTTGTTTAGGGTTATTATATGTTAATAATTTTTTGACAATAAATTATGTGTCACTATTTTATTGTTCTGTATATTTGAAACACATCAATCACAAACTATCACATAAACACTGTTGTAAAAAAGTTGGGAAGAAAAGTTGTTAAAAGAACATTTTTCTTTTGTTTATATATATATATTTTTTATTTCCTACGTTTTGGTACTTCTTTAAATTCAAAGGTTATTCCTTTCCTAAGGTTTTGTTTATAATTTTGGAGCTTCTTCTTTATATATATTTTTTATTGAAAAGCAAAGCTAACAGAATTTTATTATGATAATAGAAACTATTATTTTGAATAAATATATAAGTAAAGGCATGTATTATTCTTCAAATGCATCATATGGTTAGTTTGTCCCACTTAAGAAGCATGAAACACATGGGAAAACCATATGTCTAACGGTGCCATTGAAACTAACAGTTACGGTTAAATGCATTTGAAAATTTTCCAAGTTCAATTCTTGAATCCATGCATTCTTTGGGAATAACAGCACAATTTTAATTATCTCTACACTATCGTTAACTGCGACAAAGAAAACATTAATTCCTTTGAACAGAGCTTTCCATTTTTCTCTTCTATAAATAGCTAATCAAATGAGATTGCATTTCACATTGTCGAGATATTAAAAATCTTCTATTCTCTGCTATCAGCAACTTTAGGAAGTGATCATTTGAAAGATGGGTGGTAAAGATGGCGGAGACAGCGGTGGGAAGGTAGCCGATGGTGGCAAGGGAGGCGGTGGTGGAAAAGATAGCGGTGGAGGAAATTCAAGCGTCGATGGTGGTTCAGTAGGAAATATGAAGGCCCCTGGTGGTGATGGAAGTCACATCTCAAGAGAAGCATTTGAGAGCAATCCTAAGGCATACTTCAGCGATCTGCATGCTGCATCTAAGCCAAACAAGTAGTTCTATTTTATCAAATGCTCAAGCTCTATCTCTTGTGCTCATTATGTCACTTTTATTACTATGAATAAAAGCACCAACTTTATATATATTTTTATTTATGAATTAAGTTTTTTATGTGAAAACTGAAATTGCTTGAACTTGTTTAATTTAAAACAAAATTCAAAACCTAATAATATTATAAAATACCCACAACAATATACAACTTTTGACGTAAACTTAAAATATAAATCTTTTAAAATTTTGACACTATATATAATACTTGAAATAAAAAAATTTCGTAAAGAATAAACAAAGCATATCAGAGACTGAATGCCTTCGTGTCTAGCTAATACCATTTTATTCGTTGGAGTAAATAAATAAAAAAAATATTAACTAAATATTGAAAAGTGATTACAAAAAGTGTTTGATATTTAGAAGTTTCATATGAGAATTGTCAACAAAGAAAGAAAAAAGAAAATTCATATTAAAATCAAACTAAAATCTATTATATCTTAATGTATGACAGATATTTTCCTTGCTCATCTTTGACTCTCTTCTCTCTGCTAAGTCAAAAATTGTAATTCACATATTCACATCTGGATAAGTTCATATTTGAGGAGTACAACCCTAATTAATTACAATTTTTACCTAAAATTACAAAAGAAATCAATGAAAATAAATCAAAATAATTATTTTTACAATGCTTATTCTAATTCTTCTTAAAACGGTTTTTTCTATTTATTTTCTTTTTCTTATTCTTCATTTATACGTTTATCTCCTCCAAGCCTATTATTGTTGATATACATATTCATACCTCACGATTAAATTTTAATTAAAACTTAATTACAACTTAAATTATTATTTGCACATAAAATTACAAAAGAAAATAATAACTAAATCTTACTAACAGATTCTAGAAATTATAATAATTAAGAAAATAATAAATATGGGTAAATATTTTAAATAAAAGATAAAAAAGTTTATTAATTATAATTTAAAAGATTTATTTTATTTTAAAAGATTTTTTTAGAAATAATATACAGTGAATAATAAATTATTAAACAAATTTTATCATAATATTTTATATTTTAAATTTCGTAAAAGATCAAATTAGCTTCTTAGGTTAATTGTTACCCATATATAATATAGTTAAGTTTCTAATAATTTACTTGGATAATATATAAGGTGAGATTTGTTATTACAATTTTAATCAGTTTATCATAATATTTTGTGTGTTAAATATTGTAAGAGATCAAATTGATGTTTTTTGTTAAATGTTTACCCTAATTAATAAAAAATTAAAACAAACTCGGGTGAGAGTTGAAGTATTAAAATAATTCAATATTAATTCCATAATTCTTAACTGGTTGAGAGAGTAAAGGGTAAGAAGTTTTTTTTTTTTTGAAGAAAAAACGTGAATAATTGAAGATTATAAATGCTTAGATTATTAAACTTTAGAATATCCAAGCGAAAGGAAACTAACTATTTGGTTGGTTTATAAATTATTTGGTTGGATTATAAATAATTAGATTAAAATATCATTTTTTAAAACTTAGTTATATACATCAATTTGATCAATAATATTTGGTTTTAGTGTACTCTGTTTACATTGGGAAAGGCATTACATTACGAACTAAATTTTTTAAATGATGCTGTAACTATTTTTATTTTATTAACTATATAAAAGCATTAACCTTTATGAATTGTTTGACTATTTATACAGATATATTTAGATGCATTAATTTAAAAAAAAATAATTTTTCAGTTGACTCCTCAAGAATTTGATAATTCCAGTTGTTAGGATAAGTAGTGGAGAAGGAGGATATGACATGTGGCATTTGAGTCACTTTTCATACGTGGCTGCCTCATCAATCAACTCACAAATAATCGCAAATATCGAAGAAAACAAATCATGACTTAATCTTAGTATTAACACGCCATAGTTTTAAATTTATTTTTTAGGTATAATTAATAAAAATAATTAAGGTAATTAAGATGTAATTAAGGAAAAAATGAAGGATATTCTTCGCAAACTGTTGAAAAGTCATAAGCCAAAAATGACAAGTACCCACCTTTGCTGGCAGATATGTCACACCCAATCCCATCATGCCATATACATTCCATACCTATAATTTTATATATACAAAAGTTAAATTACTCACTTTAACAAGCTTTAGTTCTTATAAATAAAATATACTTAAAACTTATCTCTATTCATCTTTATATACATTGCTTTCAATTCCTAAAACTTTAACAGATAAAGTAACAATAATATTTAGAAATTGCAAATTGTTAAGGATGTAAAATAAGATGTATATAAGTTCATTTTTTTAAAAATTTAACATGCACACTTCAGAAACCAAATCACAGTTCGGTAAGAATTCATGAACTAAAATTTTGCACTTTCTAATCCTTATCATCACCTGACAAAAAGTTATAAATAATTTGTGTTAACTTTGCATTATTTTATATTTGGTTCATTTGATATTCAACCAAATTTTTTTTATTTAAGTTCAAGAATTTTAGATTTTTTTTATGTGATAAGTTCAGCTTCTTTATAGACTTAACAGATTAAAAGTGTATGAAATAACGCACCTAATCAGTTTTAAATAATAAGTACATTATTAATACCTTAATATGAACATAAAAATTAATAGATTTTATTATCAGCACAACGTTATAGTTAAATAAGATAAACCAGAATTTTGAATTTAGTAAGTAGTCATTATATGAGAAAAATCTTGCCAAAAATAATCGATCAAAACTCTCCAACAAAAGTCATCTACTGGTTATATTATTCAAAATTTTGTTATCTCAATCTCAATCTTGCTATCTCCATAAATAGAAAAAGGTTTCTCAGACTTAACCAATAAACAAACACAATTTATATACAGAATACTTCAAACTATTTTACAAATCCATCAGCAGAAAACCTAAACCACACATATATATACTGCATCAATTATAGGTTTTATATGAACACATTCTTATACCTAAATCGAAGTAACTAGCTATGATCTATTGAGAAAGATGAGATGGTTCTTAATTAGAGACATGATATGCACATATAAGGAGGGACAGAAGGAAGATGGTAAGAGAACCAAGGAGAAAGACAAGGCCAATTGCACCACATGCCAAACCTAAAACCTCTGCAGATTGTGTTATCATACAATCTTTCTTGTACTTATGGTCATAACCATGCTTGTAATTCCACCCAACTCTCTTTATCAGGGTCTCTCTCTTTCGCACTTGTTCAATTCTTTCCCTCAGGATTCCCAGGTTTGCATCGACAATCTTTGCTCGCTTCTCTGCCAACAAAAACAACAATATACGGCAGAAAATTAATAAAAAAACTGCATTATAGTACAATAATTGTAACGACCATGATGTTGGGACAGTGAAAAGGTTGAAATCACATAGAAAGATAAGGATGTTTGGCTGAAAAAAACACAAACAAAGAGAAGATGGTTTTTGTGCAGCTAAAGAAATTAATTAAGCTATTGATGAGAGTGAATAATGTTGTTAATCTCTATTACCATTGTCACTAAACCTTTGGCATGTTATTTTGGGGTGTTTGAAGGGTTTATGGCAGCTGCTGAAAACATGGTTTAAGGTGCAGAAAGATGACAGAGAGTAAGTCATGAGGTTGAGTTGAATTTTTCTTTTGATTCTTGTGATCTATAAAGACAATATGATTCTCTTTCAGCCACCATCATGAATATTAAAATAAGAAATTAAGAAACTAAAAAATAAAAAAGTAGCAGTGACATGTGTGTTGCTCAGAGGGACTTACACTTGCCAACTTTTGATCATGTTTTTGCATTACAGGCTCAGATCCTGGCGCAGAAACAGATCAACCAGATGATATCTCATACATACACATACACATACATATACATATACATATTTATATGATATTATATATATATATAAAGATTATAAGATAGAGATAGAATAATAGATATATAATATATATTCATATTATAGTAATTAATATATACATAAATATACATATATACACTATAATACATATATACTAGTATACATATATATATATATAGTACATATATACTCATATCATAATATAATAGATACATATATATGCATATGATATATGGGAGTTTGCTAAGCTACACCTGTTTTTCAGTTAGTACACATTATCGGATTTTAGTAGTCAAAAATACTCTTATATATCATGTCTTACAAAAAATGATTTTATAAAATTATAAAATTACAAAAAATCGAAAACACTTACCCTTAAACAATTTGCCTTTGTAAAGAGTTGAGTCATTGACATATTCACCTTCAGTCAATTATAAAATTAAAACTCATTATAAAAATGAAAACTCATTATAAAATCATTTTTTGTAAGATTGTTTAACGAAGTGTTTTCGATTTTTTCAATTGAGACTACAACAGTAAGATGACACAGAGAAAAGGTTAGAGTGAGAGAGATGAAAAAGAAATGGTTGAGAGGAATGAGAGAGATGAGTAAGGGTTTTTTTTAGTTTTGAGAATAAAAATTATTAAAATACCCTTAACCTTAAAACTTAAAATGTATGATATATAAGCATATTTTTGTCTATTAAAACTCGGTACACATTGCTAAAATATAGCAACTGAAAAACAGATGTCCGCGCGATAACAAACTCATATATATATATATATATATATATATATATATACACACACGTGTGTGTATGCGCAGCATCACATGAGTACTCCTGTGTTTGATGCGTGCTACATGTCAATGTCGTCGCTTTTCTTTAGGTAATAATAAATTGATAACATGTGTCTGGGGCTTAATTATTTTATTTCATTGTTTATTTCAAAATTTGATTCATTATTATCCATGATATATTTTACACATACAATATTTTTTTTTCTGTCTTAAATTATTAAAAGTTCACTATTTTTATCTTTATAATACGTTCAATGTCCCTTACCATTATTTATCTAATTACTGTGGTAGGTTTGTTTTCACTTGAAATCTTATTGATGTCAAATGTTCCATAACAAAG